TTTTTAAAAATAATGTACACTTATTCTAAGCTGTCAACCCATCAATTTTCATGCTGTAATTTTTGGGAGAATGACGTATCCTTTGTGTGTAGCCATGAATCCTGCTTTAAGCTCAAAACTTAATTCAGGCATGAATCAAAACGGAGAGGAGCACTGGCTATATGTAAATGTGCTTCTTATGCTGCTTTAAATACTTACCCAGGGCCAGGAGTAAATGAGTGCTAATGATCCCTCTGCCTTTTGTTTGTAGCCATGCTATGACAAATGGTCCTTGTCTTTTGTAGTAGGAATGTTGCTGCTTAGGAAACAGTAGTTGTTCTGGCAAACACCTATTCCTGGACTTTTGCCAGAAGTGTCAGACCATCTACCCGCGTGTGCTGGGGGTCTGACCTATTGATTTTGGGTTTCTCACTTGGAGGCGCTTTTGAGCTGATTTGCAGAGGATTCAAGCCCCCAGCTTCAGTCCTAATTGTGGGTGCTCCTGAAAATCAGCCTCCAAGCCTGTCCAAATTAGACACCCAGAGGCAGATGCTCCTTCTAGAAAAGTTGCCTGAGCGAGGCCTTTCCCAGAGATGCCTTGTCCATGAGCAGAATGGCAAGAACTGCAGCTGAGGAGTTCCTGACCGCCTTTGCTGACGTCCTGGGGGAGCTCACTGCCCTTGTTCCCTGCTCTTCCTAGCTCTGTGCTTCCATCACCCTCACGCTGTACAAGCACTCAAGAGTCACCACCCCTCTCCTCACTCAGCTCTAAGGAAGACAGTAGTTGAGTTTGAGAGCCAGCATTAAATTAAGTTTTGGAGACTGCCTGGAGCATTCTTTCGTCTCTGTATGAAATGAGGCCCCAGCTGTTACCCTAGGAGTGGTCCTTGGAGAACAAGCTCATACGTATGTGCCTGACAGCCCTGCGAGGAACTTGTCAATGATCATGAGGCGGTTGTTGCTCTGCTGTGGTTCAATGCAGACTACTTAGCTGTTCAAATCATTTCTAAGTGCCCTAGGGAATGCCTTGGAAACATGATTTCATACAAGCCTGGGATAAGGTAAGAGGTCCAACTTTGAGGCTGCTCAAACTGGAGATTCCCAAACTACAACCCCCTAAAAATGACTTGGCATCAAGATTTAAGTAATTTCTTACATGAGGGCTGATGGGAGCTTGTGGCACTCCAAAGTGGCAGCATCTGCTTGGGGTCATTCTGGTTGGTGGGTGCTCTTGGTGTCACAACCCGGGCAGCTGCACAAGCCCTGATGCTATCCAAGAGGAGGGTACGTTCACTGATCAGTTATTTTGTACTGATAATCTTCAGGGGCTCCTCGGGATGCTACCCTGAGACCAGCAGGTAAAAAGCGATACCACAAAGTGCTCCAGAACCCACATGAACCCCTTTAATTAAAAGGAAAGCAGCAGTAAATGGGGAAAAGGAACATCTTTCCAAAGCCAGAGCACATGGGTAATGTAACCGTGACACAGACACCCTCCCACGGGCTGCAGCTTCTACAAGAAAAGCAAGTAGCTGCAACAGTCATCGGTGCTGCTAAGCACAAGCACGTCCATACGAGAGGGTGATGTTTTAAGCACTGACACAGATTTGGCTGACAAATGTGGTGCTGGCACACTGTCTCCTTTGAAATAGCAAACACGCTGCCATGAAACACACTCTGTGGTGCTGTGTCTGTCCCCATGTGCTGTGAGAGTGGCTCCCAAGGGAGTTCACCCCATGAAGCGGTGTGCTTCCTGCGCAAGGGCTGGAGGAGATGTTAAGTCCTGGAGGGAAAAGTTGAGTCCCCTGCCTCCTTTCAAATAGCTGGCTCTTGTGATAGTTGTCCTACTCCTCCCCAGCCCTTAAAAAAAAAAAAAAAAACCCCAAGCAGGATGCAAACTGCAGTGAATGTTTTAGTGAGTGCTGTCCAAAAAACAAGACTTTTTTTTTTTTTTTAAGTTTATTCCAGTTAAAAGGGCAATCCTGCAATTCCAGGTGACCTGGCAGTGTCCGTGGGGCAGAGGTCTTTGGTGATGCTGGCATAGACCCATTCAGAGCAAGGAACTGGGCAACATACTCCGAAATTAATCTGGCTGGTTTCTTTTTTCCCAGATGTTCTTAAAGCCACATAAATAAAGAGATTATTCCTTGCAATTCCAAGAGCAGAGTCATTTTGTCCTGACCTGCAGCTCCCTGCCTGCCCTCACAGAAGGCTGCTTTCCTGCTCCAATCTGTCTACAGCCAAGGCATAGCTTATCTTGGAAGGTGGTATTGTGCTGCAGGGATGGGGCTAGGTTTCGGCAGGGCAAGGAGGACACCCACGTAGGTGAGTGAATTGAATTCGTGGCTCTGGCCACTGCAACACTGGGCTGTTTTTATTTCCAGCAGTTATTCAGGGGGGAAAAGAAACCAGACCAAATGTATAAGATGGCTGGGCCACTTTCCACCTCTTGGGTGCTCTTGTCCACAGTTGTATGTGCCAGCTGGGACCCACATCTCGCTGCCTACAGCTGACAGTATGATGCAGTGCTTTGGGAGAAACACTGCTTCCCTCCTGGGGCTTGTCCAGCCCCCAAAGCAGGTGGAGGAAGGCTAAACTAGCAGTGATGCTGCGAAGTGTCCCCTGGTTGCCCCCTTCCCGCAATTCCTGCAGATAAAACTGCATCCAAAAGCGGTTACGCTAAGGTGGTGTCCCATCTGGGACACCCCACACACTGCAACATGCTATGCAGCGTTAGCATGGAGCCGCATGCAGGCTGTGCCCTGCGTGTCTGGCCATGTGTGGCATTCTACCTGAGCCAGCCCAAAAAGCTTTGCACCAGTGAGGAAAAAGGACATGGAGTCTGTAACCTGCTGGGAGTCGCTTAGAAACCCCAGGAAGCACTGATGGATGGACCCTGCTCTGCCTGGGGGCCATAAATCCCCAGCTCTGCCAGCACTGGCAGTGCTGATGCGATCGCGCCTGCGCTGGCACAGGTGGCTGGCAGCGCCGCAGGACAGTGCCATGGGGGTCCCTGACTTTGCTGCTCTAACCTACTCCTTTTCCAGGACCATAAGGGCCACTAAGATGATAAAGGGATTGGAGCAGCAGTCATATAAGAAGAGGCTGAGAGAGCTGAGACTGTTTAACATGGAAAATGAAGGCTGGGGGGTGGTTCTTATCTGTGTCTATTAATACCTGGTGGGGGCTAAAGAAGACAGAGGGAGATGCTCCTCAGTGGTGCCCTGTGAAAGACCAAGCGCCAAACTGAAACTGAAGTACAGGGATTCGAGTTAAACTTCAGAAAAGCTTTTTCTGTGAGGATGGTCAAGCACTGGCACAGGTTGGCCAGAGAAGTTCTGGCATCTCCATCCTTGGAGGTATTAAAAACCCAACCAGATGCGGTCCTGAGCTCTAGCTGACCCTGCTTTGAGCAGTGGTGAATGGATGAGCATTTCCAGAGGTCCCTTCCCACCTCAGCTATCCTCTGAGTCCGATCAGTCATGGCTCAGTGATGAGACCCACACCAAGAGGCGCCAAATCTCTATGGGGATGGGTTCAAAAAAACAGTTCAGCTGGGCGAGCTCCATCCCTGGCTCTCTGGACCCCTGCTTGGGGTTGGGCACCATGGTGTGTTCCCACCACAGGTACAGAAGAACGTAGAAACCAGGGCTGCCCAGGGAACAGTGTTCCCTGCTGTCGCTGTTCCCTGGGCAGCCCTGGTTTCAGTGGGTCCCTGGGCTGGGCACCCACATCGTGTAGCCTCAAGCATGGCCACCTCATCCCACCTTGGGTGATGCTTCGCATACCCAGCAGCCAAAGTTTGGCAACATCTCAGCAACTCTTGCAAAGCTCAGTGAAGGTGGAAGCTCCTTCCACTGCTGAAAAGGAGAGACCAGCTCTCCCTTCCGTGAAACTAAAGGCCACCATGGGGGCAGTGTTGATCCTCAGCTTTCCAAGCACCTGATAAACACCTAGCTGAGCCCAGCTTTGACCCTCAGTCCAGAAACATTCCCCCATACATTTATAAAGACAACATTGGAAACGGCATTTAAATCCCTGCAGTGATAGCATCCCTGGAAAGCAGGACAATGAGGCATGCTGTGGGACCAGGCAATGCCACACATGACAGTGTAATCCTCTCTGCCCCGGCTGTGCCAAGCCAGGAGGGCCAAGACTTCTGTACCCTGTGCCCACAGGTACTGCTCCCCTGCACACCTGGCCACGAAAGGCACCCAGCAGCCCCACATGCTGGCTCACGCTGGAGCTTGCTGGTGGCTGAGGGGCAGGGCTGCACCCAGGCAATGACAGAAATCACAGTTATGCCCCGTGAGACCCCCCCCTGCCACCCTCCAGCCTGCTACGCTGACCCCTAGCTCACCCTGCCCCTGGGCAGTGGAGCCAAAGAAACACCCACACAGTGACACCGTCACTCATTAAAGGTTTGGTTTTATTTCTGGTTTAAAATCAAAATTAGTTGTTCTCTGTAATTACATTATATATATATTTATAGAGACATTATAGAAAAGAATTTTTTGCTTTTGTTTTTCTGCAAAAATCTGTAAATAATAAAATAAAACAAAACAAAAAAAAGGTGGCAGCTTCTGTCCATCCGTCTGTCCGTCCCTCTGTCACTCCTCCTGTCCCTGCCCTCCATGGCGCTTCCCAACAGACCAGGAAAGGCTCTGGGCTGGGGCCACATCTCACTATACTCCCTACGGCCACAGCCAGGGAGGGACAGGAGCATGTGGAGCTGGAAAGAAGAAACGCCAGCAGAATATATTAATATCTCATATTTCATTTTATTTAAGTCCTGGGGACTCCAGGTGGCAAAGGGCAGCAGTGCCCACAGCCCACGCAACTCCTGGAAAGAAACAGCATTGTTTCCAAAGTGCAGGTCCTTCCGGGACAGGGCATATGCCCTTTAGCAAGAGGAAGGCAAGAGGAGGCAGAGCAATCCGGAACATCTCCCTGCTGCTCCGGTCCCAGCAGCTGTAGCCGACGAGGAGGGCAGGAAGGGTGGGCTCCCCATGTATTTTAAATAGCAATCAGAGGGTGGGATGTGCAGCAAACCCCCCCTGCCCAGGGGTGCGTACGTGGCACCCCACAGGACTGGTGGCTGGGTGCAGGGGAAGCGGTGCTCCATAAGGCAGTGTGCGGCCGTGGCGAGCTGCCGGCGGGGGGAGTACTGAAGTGTGCTGCCAAGAGCAGGAGCTGCCGGGTTGCGGCTGGCCCCAGTCCGTGCAAGCTCGGGCGGCCCAGCGGTGCCTTTGCCCTCAAGGGATGGCAGGTGGGTTTGCGTGGCGTCTCAGAAAGCTGTACTGGCCATGCTGGCTGGGGCAAAGATCCTTGGGAGGCTGTCCAGGGTCTCCTCCAGCCGCCGGTGAGCTGATTTACCATCTTCCCCTGCAAGCACATGCCATGGTCAGTGAACCAAACTGCAGAAGCTGTGTCTCCTGCCCATCCCCAGCCACCTTCCCCGGCCTTTCCGGGGAAATGTGGCTGATGCCTGGCAGAGCTGAGCTGGTGTGCTACGGCCACAGAGTGGAGACCTCTCTTGTCCTCCTTAGAACACCCTTGGGCAGGTCCTAGCCAGGATCTGGCTCAAAAAGCCTCCAGAGTTCCTGATTCAGATGTTGCAAATCCTGTTCCTCAGCTGCCTGCTGTACCCATGCCCACGCAAGCCAGGATCACCCACATCTGGGCTGCAGGATTGCTGGCTTGTGGGGAGCCTAGCTTTGGGCAAAGGGGCCAGGGCTTGGGGCTGTGCCAGTTCCAGCATCTCAAACAGCTGTGCACATCTGCATGCACTGGCACAGTGATCCCAAGGGCTTCCCCAGGACCCCCAGGCACACACAGGGATGCACACATCCATGCTACAAGTTGGCTCTGAGATCTTTGCCCAGCAACCCTGCACGCAAATCTACCCGCGGCAGCCATTCCCAGCAAGAGGTGGTGACATGAACAATCTGCTGGGACACGGGACACAAGGCATCTACATGTGCCGGGGTGACACGGGGATGGGCTCTATGACAACCAAGACACACAGACTCCAAAACGTGACATGGCTGACAGGCTCTAAGACGGAGACATTCGTGAGCAAAGCGGCAGGAGTGGGGACGGGGGGAACAAGGACAGCTCATGTGTCCCAACCTGTGCAGCAGCTGCCGCGATCTGGAGGCCTAGAAACCCATTCAGATGGTTCTCTCAGTGCCATCTAGCAAATAATAAATAACAACCAGGCTTAGTGCTCTGTGGCCACAGGATGCCTGGCCCTCGCTGCCTGCTGCCACCTTGCTCTTGCCCGGCAGATCCTGGGGCACGATGAGCCACAGTGCACACGGTAGGCAGGGACCAGCCCAGGACCCCCTTCTCCCGCGGGCACTGTTGGCACCAGGAGATAGCGCTCAGGGTGCCGTGGGTGGCGAGGGAGCAGAGAGGAGCAGTGGGACACTCACCACACAGCATCAGGCTCTGCTTGGCTGCCTCACGCACAGGCTCCTTGTCGGTTTGGCACAGGTAAACCAGCTGCTCGATGCTCTCCTTGGCCTGCAGGGAAGGGACAAACGGCTGAATGTGGCTGGCAGGGCTGGCAGCAGGGACACAGCCTGGAGGGGAAGGCAGCACAGGGCACTGCAGCCCCATGGTGCAGGAAGTCCTTCGTCCTGTCCTTTCCCTCCCCATTTCCATTCCTGCCCTGCCCCTGCCTGCTTCTCCAGCACATTTGGGGCACCCCCAGCTCCTCTCTCCCGGGAGCAGGAGGCTATGCAGGTGTGTCCAGACTCGCCAGCCACATGCGATTCCTCTTCCTCCAGAAGATGCAGCTCTGCTGCCTCATGTCTCTCACCTTCAGGCAGCCCAGCGCCGCGCACCCTGCCACGCGCGTCTGCACCTCCTCATCCTCCAACTGCTCCAGGTAGCACACGAGGGCCTAGGGGAGGTGAGGGACGTCAGTGCCACTGCCCACGGCAGAGCTGGGGGGCAGCACCCCACGGGCTGTGGCACCAGCCCACCTTGTCCCTGGCTTGCCCAGCACATACCCGTTGGCGGAAGCGTGGGTTTTCCGCCAGACTGCGGAGCTGGGCCGACACAGCGCTCACCACCTTGCTGTTGCCCTCCACAAGGAGCAGGCTCAGCGCCTTCAGTCCCTCCTTCTTCAGGCGGCCCTCGGGCACGCGCTTCAGGGCACGCAACACCACGTCCTGGTCGTCCGAGTTGAGGTTCTGCGCCAGCAGTGCTGCAGGCAACCGCTGGCTGAGCTGAGGCACGGGGAGCCTGGTGGCACTGCCCGCGTGCCCCTACCACCACAGGGAATCCATCCCCAGGCACTCTGCACCCACGCCATGCAGAGGTGGCCCCACGCAGGGTGGCAACACATAGAGCTGCTGGGGCACCCAAGTCAAGATGCTGGGGACCTACAGCAAGGACCCAGGGTGCTCAGGAAGGAAGCGTGGGAGTGGGCTGTGCACCGGATCAGACCTTCTTGCCCACCCCAAGGATAGCTGAGCCTCTGGGTGATGCCCCAGGGTGGTCATGGCAGTGCTGCAGGGTGATCCCCTGTGGTGATGCTCTGGCACCCTATGCCAGGGTCTAGGGAGGGCAGGAGGGCACCCACCTTCCTCTGCCAGCTCCATCACGTAGGTGTCGAGCACCAGGGCACCAAGCGACTCAAAGTGGCTCCAGTACTGGAAGATGGTGACCTGCTCGCCATGCGCACTGCCGGCGCGCACGGGGAGCACACAACCAGTTTCACACACACGGTGGGAAAGGGCCGGGGTCAGGATGTACAGCAGCCATGGCCACCCCTTTGCAGGGCTCCTGGCACCCATAGGCCCCCAACTCATGGTCACTGAGTGGGCCTGCAACTCTGTCCCCAAACACCCCTGGGCGCCTGCTCACCGGCATCAGCCAGGCCAGGGTGCCGCTCGCTGATGGGTGCCGCATACTGGGTGCTGAGCACCTGCAGGAACCGCTCCACAGGGCAGGTGTAGATGTTGGGCACCTCCACGCAGCAGTCCCAAAGGGGCAGCACACCCTCCTTCCGTGTTGAGAACTGCACCACTGCAGGGACAGGTGCTGTTAAGCCTCCCTGGGCCATGGCAGCAGGCAGGTGACTCCTGCCCTCCGGCTGGCATAGCCTCTTGCTGCCCCGCCATGCCCACGAGGGGAGACTGGGCCCTGCACAGCCCCTGGGGCGGCATGGACAGACCCCTTGGCCACGTGTCTTTACCTTCAGCAGCAGAGCTGGCTGCTCCCGCTCGCTCCTCCGTCAGCTGGCACACAATCTCCAGCACCTGCGCCTCCCGCAGCAGCCTGTCCAGGGCATACATCTCCCGGCACCGTAGGGGACCAAAAGTGCCCAGCTTCTGCAAGGCATGGCCAAACCAGGGACCTCAGGGACAGAGCCCACTGCCCACACCACAGCCTCCATGCTATGGCAAGACACATCTCGAGGGGGGACCCACAGCCCATCCCAGGGTTTCCCTCCCCAGGACGTCTCCTGCCACCATGCACCGGCCCCTGTCCTCACCAGCAGCAAGCGATTGCAGTTGTTGAGGTGAAGCACCAGGGCCTTATCCAGGAACTCATTGCCGGTGCTCATGGGGTCGGTGCTGGCCTCGGAGCTGCTGCACATGCCGGTGTCATCTGCTCCTGTCTCACCAGCGCTGGGGGCCCTGCTGCCATGCCGGGGTCTGCCAGACCTCCTGCAAGCCAGGGAGAGACGGAGGCAGTGCACTGGTCAGTGCAGGAAACCTGGACCCAGCCCTTCCCCACCCACAGGGACACTGCTGGGCAGAGTTTTTTTAGGACCTACAATATCACGGCGTAAGGGCCAGGTGGAAGAGCAGGTCCCAGGAGCACAGGGGCTGCCTCCCAGCCCAACCCCCATGGAGAGATGTGGGGTAGCATTGTGCCACCAGAAGGTCCAGACCCTGCTGCTTGTCGACCTGGACCTGCCCTGAGCTGTGATGGGCTGGTCTAAATGTGCTTGGGCACCCTGGCAGAGCTGGGCATCCCCCATCCCAACTGCCCTAGGGCCGCGTCCTGCCCCACACCCCATCCCATGAGCCTTGCTGTGCACCTCTCATCTTGGAGAGGCTCCTCCTCGGAGCCCTCTGAGTCCTCCATGTCAGAGGTGTTGAGGAAGCTGAAGCTCTCCAGCGCATGCTCCACCGTCAGGCTGATGCTGGAGGCCCGGCTGAGGAAGACACCCTGCTTCTGCTGTGGAGGAAGGCATGGTGGAGTCAGATCCTGGCTCCC